CAAGGATGTAAAGATTGTTCGAATGAACGTTGCACTGATTTTAAATGCAAATGATTCTTAATAAAAGGTCAATTAAGTAAGTTGGTTGCAAATTATAAAGGGTGTTTTAGTAAAATGTGAAATATATATATATAGGTAGATTTTAATAAATCTATGAAATCGTAAGGGGGTATTTTAGAAAATGACCTATAAAAATAAATATTTACTAATAATGGATTCTCTTAATTATCATACGTGGGAGGGCCTCATGACCACCACTTGTCTTTTGCAAATAGTGTATAGAAGATCCAGGTTTTAACAATGCTACATATCTCTTATTTTGTCCAAAATTTTTGGATGTTGAATGAAGCGACCTACCATGATAAAGAACATCTTGGTTGACAAAGCAAAATAAAGCTTACTATCTAAGGTCTTGAGAGGAGTAGATTACAAATTCATCATCCAAAGATCATGACTGCGAGGTCATCGTTCACAAAATTTGTCAAAGACTGTTACGTACCCCAGATTCAACCCGAGCCAAGAGATGCTTGGCCCCACTAAAGGAAATCACCGACTCAACCATAACCAATTCCAGAGACCCAAGGTGGCTGTGCTTTTCACTGTTCTTAGAGAAAGGCATATGTCAAAGACCCAAGGTGGCTTCTTAGGGATAGAGACTCTTAACAATCAAGTTAGCAAGAAACTAGAAGTGAGGACAAGCTGAAGAGCTCAATAGAGAAAGAGAGTATGAGGTCAGATCGATCGATTAGCTCGTTTATAACATTCAGAAATTGGAGATTCCATATGTTGCATCCATGTCATTTGGTGAAGTTACCAAATTTCCTTCTGATGTGGTGTGAATTGACTAGGTTACCCTCCAAGTGGGACACATGTAAATTAATATCCCATAGACATTAGTCAAATGATATGCCCTTTTGCCCAAGTGTTAGCAAGTCTATTTGACTTCATAGTCAATAAAGTTCAAGGGATGGTTCAATTGTTGTTCTCTGTCAAACTTGACATTAGTTAGAGTTTCTAACCATGCATTGATTCTATATATGCCTTAGGTTGGCTGGTTAGTGTTGATCACTCTATCTGGTGGAGTTAGTTTGATTGATGTCTAACTGAGGTCGGTTTCCTACCGTGCTTAACCCTAGGCAGGTCTTTTGGTCAGGCTAGAATGAGATCTCATTGAGGAGACGTAGTCACTAGTTTTTACCTTATGATGGGATGGTGAACCAGTGTTGGCTACTTTGTCTAACTGAGTTGGTTCAGTCAACATTTACGGAGGTCTACTTTTTTATCACCATTCTCTGCCTAATCCTATCATGACTTTCGTATGGGCCGTGGCTCAGAGCCTATGTCGTGCTTGGATCTATCGGCCAAGAGATTGGCTAGTAGGCGAGGTTGGCAGAGTTAGCATTAGTTGGTTTTAGGACCGAGGTCAGACTTTTGTTACCTTTCCTTGTCGTGCTCAATCTTGATGTGAGTATTCAACTCATCAGGCTTATAGCTTATTCTTGGATTCAAGAGTGATAAAAGGAAAACAGAAACTTAGGAAGAATTTACAATACGACATACGACATGATAGAAGTGTTGTCATATGCATAGTTGCCTGCACTTCGATATTCACAGGATGACCTAATCGCCTAAGACATAGTTTCAAAGGTAGTCTTGCGAGATAAAAAAAAAAAAAAAACACTTTGATTTCATTCTTCAATGGTCAACTATCCTTGATGTTGTGGTTGTTAGGTTGGTGGTTATTTGATTGGAGTTCACATCTGCACCCCACAATGTCCCACAGCACATTCCCGCCATGTATTAGGAACATCTCCCGATAATGACATCATCGAGACTGGTACTATCATCGGGAGATGTTCCCAATACACGGCGGCGATGTGTTGTAGGACGTTGTGGGGCACCCCCTTGTGAGGTGCAGATGTGAAATCATTCGATTGGTCAATTCAAGACATAGTTTCCAAGGTAGCCTTGTCAAATAAATACTTTGATTTCATTCTTTAACAATCAGAAGTCCTCAATTCTTCGACCCCCTTTTGTTCACCTGACATCATCTTCTTGGGCCAACAAACATAACATATTCTTTATCCTAAATCTGCATATGAATTTAGGCTCTAGAAGTATTGAGGGGAACACACCTCTTGAGTCCTTAAGGTTGCATTTGTTTGGGGTGAAAAATAAAATTGGGGTAAATTTAACAACCCGGTTCGATTTTATATACGCTTGGTAATTAAGCACGTACTTTTACATCGAAAATCAGTGTAAAACTCTACTTTCATTTCTCTTTACACCGATAAACGATGTAAATTATACATCGAAATTATCAATGTAAAACTCATTGGTTCTACCATCGAGGTAAACTCCTCTCACTTTACTCTGGCTGTCCTGCACGTCTCCCTCCTCCATTCTTCATCTACTCTGTTAGCTCTCTTGCCGGTGTTGCTGCTTCTCCGTTGAACATCCGGTAATCTCTCTCTCTCTCTCTCTCAGATCTCCCTCTCATTGATCTACTCCCTTTATTACGTTTGGGACATATGCATGAGTTCCATACTTAAAGAGCCAAATTGTATTGCATGTCTAAATTCTAGGATAGGATAGGTATCTAGCATATTAGTGTTCTATGTTTTTAACTTGTCTTTTAATATATTTATTTGTTTGTGAACAGCTAGTAGACTCTGGGATATAGGCAGAACATTGATACTCCTAATGTCAGGTTAAGTTTCCCATATCTTTTGGTTCATAATTTAATTCATTTGAGAGGTAATAACTTAAAATTGTTTGCATCATCTTTAACTCCAAGGGGGTTAATGGGTAACTTAGGATTTAGCATTAGGAAATATATATTTTTTAAATAAATTTGATCTATGCATGTCGTCATTCACTGCTAGCATATATATATATATATATATATATATATATATATATATATAAATGTAGTTGACCTATGCCGACAGTCATGATTGCCGTCATAGGTAAAGTTTTAAACAAAAAAAGGACCTATGTCGGCGCTCATTCTTCACATTGTTGCTGCTTTACATAGTGTCTCGGCAGTCGTAATCGCTGTGTTTGAATACATATTCTGGCAGTTATGATAGAACCGCCGGTATAAAAGCAATTGGATTGGGGCCCTAAGTCGACATTTTTTTGTATTTAGGCCGGCAGTCATGAGCTAGGCCAACAGTGCTTAAGGCATTGGTCACAAAACCGCTAGCTTAGACCTAACCTGGTGGTTTTGTGACTGTTGCCTTAGGTCTTTTTTCTTGTAGTGTGATCAAGCAGCCACATATGAAGAAGTCTGAGACTCTGAGTTGAGTATCATTTTTCTTTATGGACTGTGAGAAATCAGACACATGATTACTTGTACATGTTGTTGGCCTCAGATACCAAGGCTAGGCAATAGGAAGGCACCTTGTCGCCTAGTTTCCTTGGCGATGGATTTTTTTTTTCTTTTGAATAAAAATCATGAATCCTAGGGTAATTACCTATGTTCAATAGAAAGTAGCAACCATCTTTCCATAGTAGTTGTCTATAATCTTCATAAACAATGTATGAACTTCATTTAAACATAGAAAATCAACATATTCATGAAAAGATGGAAGAAATAAAAAAAAAAAAATTCAGAACAGAGTTTTTGTCCTAGGAAAAGAAGAAAAGAAAGGATGAGAATCAACACATGGACCATATTTGTGCTTATGTTTCATACATTGATCGTGTGAAAATTCTATTGGAACCCTTTGCTTTAAAAACAACAGATGGACCAGATGGTTGAGAATCATCTGATCATGTTTATTTCTTGTTCAGACCCTCCATTTGTTCCAGCTAAGGCTTAGTTTGTAGTGAAGAAAGAAAGTGGATACAGAAAATACTAAAAAGATTAACACCAATAACTATGCCCCTGGAACTTTAACTCAATGAAGTCTTCACCCAAACAACCTTAGTTGAGAGCAATTATGGGGCTTGATGATTGGGAAATGTTTAAAGAATGTCTATCTTGAAAGAAGATTTTTATCTCATTAGGAGATTAGGGTTCTCACTTCTCAACAATGTATGGTTGTATGATGTGAAAGGAGGCTGTGGGGAGCAGATTAGGGTTAGATTCTATGAAGGATTAGATTTCAAAACTGAAATTCAAATATAAAAATATAGGATTCGATTACCAGATCTAAAATTGTAGGGTTAGATTTCAGATCTGCAATTGCAGGATTAGATTACCAGAAACCAAAAACCTTTTGTTGTAGTAGTGATAGACTTGGAATTCAATGGTAGTTAGACTCTAACCTAGAACCTCAAACAATAGGTTTATCTGCTTGATATACCCCTTTCTTTCTTGAGTTCAACTCAGTTATTTTAACAAATTTGCATCCATAGATAAGGTGTTTATCTAGCCTATGCCCACTATGATAAAGTGTTTATTTGACTATGTGTTTGTCTTTGACTACCAAACATGAGGGTACCTTCATAAAGGGCCTTCTCTACAATCCAGGGTGTCATCATTACCCTAATTATGGTAGGCTACTACACACTTTGCGAGCGTCCGGGAGCAAGGGAAGGTAGGAGCATAGGAAAAGGGAAATTCATGAAAAGCATATTTAATAGCCAGAAGTCATGCCTTTCGTAGATTAGGATGAGGAGAAAATGCTTTGATTCATTGAGTGATTTACTTAGACTACATGGTCAACTCACACCAACCCTCCATTTGAATGTTGAGGAGCAAGTTGCAATGTTCCTTCACACCATTGGTCACAATGTCCAGAATAGTACAATCCATGTTAGATTTGGTGAATCCCAAGAGACCATTAGCCAATACTTTCATAAAGTCCTTCGTGTTGTTTTGAAGTTGCAACACCTGTTGGTTGCACAACCTACAGGAGATCATATACCGGTAGAAATCAGATATGATGCCTGATTCATGCCATACTTCAAGGTATGCCTAATAATAAGTATTGCTAACAATTGAACATGTAAATTTAATCCATTACCCATATGGCACGGATCTAGTTGAAATGTATGATTGCATAGGTGCTATTGATGGAACTCATATTCCTTACAAGGTGCTTGTTGAAGAGCAGGCTAGATTTTGTGGTAGGAAAGGGAAAACCACCCAAAATGTGGTAGCCACAGTCATATTTGACTTGAAATTTACATATGTATTGGCTGGTTGGGAAGGGTCAGCTATTGATGCAATAGTCCTGATTCCCTAAGGAGGGAATATAGTCTTAGAATACCTGAAGGTAATCTACAAAAATTTTTCTATCTTCATCCTACCTCTACATCAACAAGATCATTGGAGTGAACTATTTTTTTTATTATTTACTTCCATGTGAACATAGGAAAGTACTATCTCGTAGATGCGAGTTATAGAAATATGTCAGGATTCTTAGCTCCTTATCAAAACACATGGTACCACCTCAATGAGATCCGAGGATGGTTGCCTAAATCCCCAAAAGAAATCTTCAACCATAGGAATTCCGCATTGAGAAATGTAGTGGAGCGTGCATTTGGTGTATTAAAGAAGCGTTGGGCCATCCTAGACTCCACCCAACACTTTGATTTCCCTACACAGGTTAGTATTGTCATTGCATGTTGTGTCCCTCATAATCACATAATGGGTGCTGATCCAAATGACGCAGTAACTCAACAAGGTATTTGGGATACAGGTGCACGCAACTCCAATGCCAGGAGGAGTGAGCCCATGGATGATGCACCAATTGAGGACAACTTAACACAACAAATCCAAAGAAATGAACTTGCAAAGTGAACCTCATTCAGAGATCAACTCAGTTTGGAGATGTTTTGAGATTGGCAGAGACTCCGACAAGGAGTTTGATGGGGTGGATTGTTGTGATACCAGCAATGTTTACTTAATATATGCTTTTATTACTGATGAACCATTTGTATCACATTGAGAATAGTTTGATTTTGTTTAATGTTGTGGTTATTAACATGTCCAGTTTCATTATTTCTATACAAGCATACATTTTAATTAGTGGTACTAAATCTGAATTATATGCTCATATGTTGAATGCTGGCATGTGTTTTTGTATTCAAATTTAAGTGTGATTTAAATTTCATTATTCAGCTATGTGTATGAATCCATTTAATTCATGATATGAGACTAGTTACTAGGAATGGTGTTGGGAAAAGATTCACAAGTGTCGGCTAGTGGTCACCTAGGAGACCGGCAAAAGGGTGAAGTCTCTATCTGTGTCACATCTAGCTACATCTAAGTCTAAGCATAGTAGGCAGATTAGATGGAATGATTCAATGGACCGATCATTTATAGAGTTATTGGCAGAGCAGGTTGCCTTAAGAAACAAGATTGACAAAGGGTTTAAGACATCTACATACACATATGGTGTTGACATGAAAACCCCAAACATAAAGAATAGGATTCGCACGTTGAAGCCAATTTATATAGAGGCAAAAAAATTGCTTGGTACTTCTGGGTTTGGATGGAGTTATGCAAGAAACCAGATACAAGCAGACTAATAAGTTTGGGAGGAATACCTACAAGTAAACCTGATATAACTTAAATGTTGTGATCTCTAGCATTTGTGTTAGCACAATAAAAACCTTGTTTGTTCAATGCAGGCAAATCCACTTGCACATACTATGAAAGGACGGATCATGGCAATGTATGATAAAATGCAACTGGTACTTGATAATGATCAACCTACTGGGGATTATGCAGCAACAGGTCTTGAGATACAGGACTTGGACCTAGGGGATGATGACTATGGTGAGGGTGTCGATGAAGATGTTGATGATGATGCATCAACACCTTTGGGAGGCATTGTTGTCAGCGATGATTATGGGACACATTCTCATAGTACTATCCCTTGACTTGTTGCTTCCTCATTGAGTACTCGGAAGAGATCACACAGTACGAAGAAGAAACCACATGAACATTTCATCGAGGCAATTATAGGCTGAATCATACCATCAAAGACATGACAACTGCCCTCACAATTCAAACTGAGCAAGATATGGTTAATATGTTGTATCAAGAAGTTATGGACTTACACTCAGAGGGGTTTGATATTCAAGTCTTAAATGCAATATTTGGGTACCTAGTGGAAAATGAGAAGGAAGCAAGGATTTTCATTGCTAGGGAGAAGATCCTACGAGCCTAGATGGTATGCACTATCTTAACAAAATTGCCTGGATTTAGAAGGATACCACACCCTATTGAGAGAGAAGGTTGCTGAGTTTCAAACAGTCTACATTGGACAATCTAAATTTCTCAAATTTTCTAGTTTTTGAAACTACACTTTTTGATAGCATATTTGAAACTACTCTTTTTGATAAATACATATTTGTTGTGTTTCAAGATAAATATGTTAGCTTAAAGATAAATATTTGTTGTGTTTCAACCACTGAAATCATGAATTCCAAATCTATAAATTCAAAGAACTTCAAACTAACAATCTGAATTGAATATTATATATGAATTTGAAAGTATGATTTATATGCACTATATAAATCCTGCAATATTTCTTGAATTTCTTGAATTTTATTCATACTTGAATTTCTGGAATTTTATGAATATTTCTTAACTGTAGCTTTTAGGAGATAAAGCATCAAAAAGCTCATGAAGAAAATAGCAGGCTACAAATGTTTTAGGATGAACATTTGACCCTAAGTTTTAGGTATAGACCCATTGAACCTACTGTTTCCAAGATTCAGGTATTCCAGGTGCTCCATACTACCAAGGTAATCAGGTAACACACCAGACAGATGATTATTCTACAACTCTCTGCATGATGTAAATGTTTATGGTAATGCCTCTTTGAATACCAAATGCACCACCCACAATCAAGTTTGCAGCCTAGCACTCAAGGGCTTGTAGATGACTAAAGGTGCATCTTCTCTGGGCTTGGGCTGCTCCAATCCCCACTGTTATTTCTCTTCCTTTTCTGAAGAGAAAAATGAGGGAGAGATAGAGAAAGAAAAAAAGAATCATGCGAACTGCCTATTTGCATTTTGTAATTTCTAGATGTAGCCTAATGAATAAATTCTTTTTGAAGGAAAAAGGTAAAGTATTCTGTTAGCTTCCACTGAAATGATCCATGTTTACATGTATAGATTATGTATAAACCATGTTTGAGACATGCACTACCAGAGACTATACATCAACTAGGGCAACTAAAACCAAGTCCCCCNAAAAAAAAGAATAAAGAAAAAACAAAATATTACTCCAATATAGGCATGTTTATCAACTAAACAGTATGCTATGTTCAAAAAACTAGGGTTGTGGAACCCTAAACTTCATTAGCTGACAGCCATGAGTGTACAATGGCCACAACCCAACACACCATCTCATCCACTGATCTCCTCCCCTGTTCTTGAACACTCTTTGGTTCCTTGCTTTTCAAATAACCCAATCGGGCTACAAGAGGAATCACTCCAAAGCACCTTACCCTTCTAGCTTAGTTGTGCTAGCTTCAGGATTTGAATAGATCAAACAGATTCCTTTGACTAACATTGAAGAGCCTACATAAATGGTTGTACAAGAGACCCACAACTCTACAATGTAGAAACAATTGATCTGTTGACTCTTCATCCCTGCTACACATTACACACTCCAAGGGCTCCAACACCAAACCTCTCCTTTTACTAATGAATAAAGTTGATTTACTGATCCTTTTCCCAAGCAATTAGCATGAATATTCTTATTTTGTTTCTTTCTGAACTATATTTTATGGTTCATCTAATCTAGGAGTATGCTGAAATAATTTCTACTCTAGCTTCTTTTGCAATAAACATGAACTGAGATGTTATTGATTATTTAAAAGGCCATTACCCATGTTGCCCCCAGAGATATTTGGGGTCTTCAAAGGGGTAGATGGAAACAAACCAGTTTTATTAATTGTATAAAAAGAATTTAAACATTTACAGAATCGTGGTACAATAGGCTGCAAAGCCACCAAATCCTCTTTGCCCATTTCTGGTAGGACTTCAAAGGATGCATTCCCCCATTACAATTAGAGTCATTTTTACTTCTTGTCTAACTAACCCATCAGTTGACTGTGTTAACTGATCCTTGGACCCAAGTGAATCTTATAGCTATTAGCCTGTTGCCTGCCAAGCTTCTTACTTTTCTTAGTATGTATCAATACTGCCATAATCCTAAACTTCTATTTCTAGGCTTGCCCACTACCACCTTTTTCCTACCTCAAAGTTCCTGGGCCCTTTTTAGGAGGTAAGGAACTAGTCAGGATTTTTCTTTCCTTTTTTTTTTTGTGTAATTAGAAGAGAAAGAGAGGTTAACAAATTTAAAATCTGCATCTGCAGTACACTTTTAGAAGAAGATTTGTAGAATGAGGCTATGGTTATATAAAGAAAAGGTTTGAGATTATTATATTAATGAGGATTGGTTTCCAGATGATCAGGAATGAATTGTGACAGTATAAATTGGGTGCTAGTAGGTTTGATAAGATTGAGGTTGTGTTTGATGTTCAGTATTTTGTTAGGTTGGAGTGATGTTGGGTGTCTTCGGAAAGTTATGGTTATGGCCTTTGTAACCTTGTTGGTGATATCTTAACCCTTATCACTGATGCATCTATCTTTTCTCCTTTTTAGTGAAAATTTCTTTACCATAGCTAACTAGTCGAGGGCCAAATCAATTGCATAACTAGCTGGTCAGCACTCATGGGGTGAGAGACAACACCTAAGGCTTTCTTTGCTGAATCATCTGACAAGTCTTAATCTTAACCATGGAAAACTTCCCATGCAAAAAGCTTTTAACCTTGAGGGGTACTAGAAAAAGCCAAAGGGATTTAATGGCACTGCCTAAAGAAGAAGTGGTTGAGAATAAAATTCTGAAAAGGAAGGCACAAGTAAACAGGAAGCAACAACCCCACCCCTGGATTGTTTATTTTTCTGGTTCAATATTTGATGTTTTCTTAAAAGACCTTGTTCCTTTGTGGTGATCAACTCATTTTTCCTCTATCTAAAACTTGAGCTTAATGATAACATTGCCTGTTTTTGCAATTATAATCTATGGTCTTCCTTAAAATCAATAACAGAAAGTGTGTTGTTTATAAGTTTGATGTTTTTTTCATAAATAGAATTATGTCGTTAATTCATTAAATCATAACCATCTTACTAGGGATCCTTGGTTCTCTAATCAGTGGCCAGAATTGGGGTGTGTTTTGTTGCATGGTTGTTGCCTTCTATGATCTCTCTGATGAATTTGGTTCTTTGCACCTGTGATGTTTTAGGTTTGGGTAGTCAAAGTGATTAACATGTTCAGTTCTAAAATTTGGGAATGTTGAGTCCTATCTTTGAAATCACTATTTCTAATGATAAACTCTTTAATTTTGTAATTTTAATATAATATTTGCATTTTCTTTCTCTTCATTTTCACATCTTAACACTTGGTTCTATAGAGCAGGACTTTCACTTTTGTATTGGACAGATTGAGGCTGCACCTTTGATAATATAATCCATTTGTTTTGTTTTGTTCTATGTCTAGGCTAGAGAGGCATCAGTACACGACTTTATTATTTTTTGTAGTCCACATCGGTCCAGAAATGGTAGATACTTGGAATTTGAGGCCTAATTTTTCTAGACCGTAAAAAGTCCACAACTAAATTCCTACGTTTACGTTATAAACACGTATTTTTCTACTGTAAAAAAAATACTAAAGTTGTATCGGGAAGTGGCTACGATGCTTGATTATTTTTTGCATTGGTGTAAGCTACCAAATTGTAGAGAAAGTACACCGAAATACCGATGTTTTACATCTTGGTGCCAAACGTGAAGAGCCTAAATTAGACATGCAAAAACAATTTACACCCTGCAATTTTGTGTTTACCCCCTTTCCAAATGCAGTCTAAAGTGAAATTTTCCCTAATAAAAACTATTCCGTGTTCTATATGACGGAGCATAAAGTGAAATTTTCCTTAATAAAATCTAGAGTAAATTACAAAGACCCCCTGTATTATGGGGTCTGTGATAAAGACCTCTTTGTGCTTTGACTGTGAGACAAAGACCCCTTCTGTTAATTTTCCGTTGAAATCTGCCCTTAAAATATTTTTTAATCCTCGTACTACCCCTGTAATAACTATTCCGAGAGAATACTGTTCATCTTCCGCGACCTCAAGATACATGAACCGGTGGTAGACTTCCAAAGTCCTTGATATTGTAGATTTTGAGCTGAACCATTCTCGAGCCTTCCATTTGGCCATTTAGAAAGTTCCAGTTGTCCATACATAGTGACAGTCGAGTTGCAGAGTGTTCCCCATCTTCTCTCACTCGTGTATCCATGGCGACGGTCGAAGTTGTTGAACCAAGGAAGATGCTTAGGCCTGGTCGAGGGGGGCTGATCGGCCACGGACTCTCCAAACTCATCAAGATGATAGCAGCGGTGCCGGAATCGGAACGCGAGTCTCTGCTCCCCCGCCAATAAGACAAGGCCATCTGCACCGCTTCTGATATCGCCGTTGTGGCTGTCATGTCGAAGCCCCATTGTTGTCAACACATCGCTACCACCGGGAACATCTGTGTGTATTGCCCCGGTGTATTCCCCCATTACAACAGATTATAATCGTCATTTGAGTAGTAATGGGGGAATGGGGTTTACCTTTACAGCGGTGGTCGACCAGTTCTTTGGGAGGTTGAAAGTAATAATATCTCTAGTTTGGTCACCGTAAGCCAAGTAACCAAAGAACCCAAACAGCACTCACCGGAAATTCTAGTGAACGCCGTACACAAGCGTAATCCCAGTGAATGCCTATCCCAGCACCCATCGGAAATTCTTCCTCTTTCTCATCAACGCTTCCAACGGCTAAAGTCATTCCAAAACCCTCGAAACAAAAACACCACCACCCCTTCGGCAAACAGCAACCCGCCAACGCTTGTAATCACCTCTCTTAGAAAAATAGTCAAACAATTGGAGGTCTTCCTTAACGACGACCGCCATCACCAACACGTTGCAGATGTCTACGAAGATGGTGAAAGGGGAGAGAGTGGAGAGAGCGATTTCGACAGGGACAAGAAGGAATATGTAAGAAGACAATGTCAAGGTATGGGTGCCCACAATGGATGACATGTTTTGGCTGATGAAGACGAGATAACCAACAGAGGCACCACGTTGGGAGATGCAAATAAGGAACTTCGTCAGATACCGACCTATCATTCCGAAGGCTTTGAAACGCAAGTCACCATACGTATGGACTTCTTCTGATGCTAACCTGTCTCTGCATTGAACCTGTAGAAACAGAGAAGATGGATTATATTTGTGGGTTTTCGATATTTGGTAGAGTTAATCAAAATCTTGACGAAAGGAGAGGAAAGAGGAAAGAACAAACAAGGAGGAGCATGGGATTCACAAGTGTAATCTTACTAGCTGGATCGCTATAACCTGGCCTTTAACACACTTGATCCTTGCCATCCCCCTGAACAAGCTCCGAAGCCACTATCATTCCAGCTCCATAAGATTCCCAGAGGATTGAGTGACGATTATCCCATCCCACGGCAGGCTCGATACTGAATGGCAGGTGACAAGGAGCAAGAACAAATGGTTAGTGTAATCGCACCAAAATAGCATGTGAAATGCAACGATCCTCTTCCTCTTCACCTATCATTCGGTTAGAGGAATCGTGCCAAACTCGTACGCTGTTAAGGGAAAGGGGAAGAAAAGAGATTGAGGGAGAGAGAGAGGAGAGAGAGAAATGCAAAACAAGGTATTATAAGAATAGTATGGGGATTAAAAAAATATTGTAACGTTCTTTTTTGACAGAAAGGTAAGGGAAGGGGGTCCTTGTCTTATGTCAAATTACAGGGGGTCTTTGTCACAGACCCCATAATATAGGGGGGTCTTTATAATTTGCCCTAAAATCTATTCCGTTATCTAATAAAAAAATCTACTCCGTTATGATTAAGTGACTTGGTGGATTTGTACCGGTGGTGGAGACATATCTACATTCCACACTCTCCCTTTTCTCCTATTTCAGCTGAAATTTTGCGATTCCGAAGAAAGCAAGAAGAATTAATTGTTGCTCATTAATTGGGCCCTAAAAGACAAGCTTGTTTTTCGCGTTCAACAAGGAGAGTTTCCAAGAGGGTGAAATGCTGCTTGCCTCTTCCGAATTTCTAAATCGAGCCTAATCCACTGGTGGATTCTTGTATTCTGCCGAGAAATTACAACAAATCTAAGCCGCCCAAAATCCAAATGACGAGCAAGGTTAGTATGATATACTCTTCGCCTCCCGCAGTCTCTGTATTTCTGTTGTCTATGGTGCGTGTTTAAAGTTAAACTCGAAATTGAAATTCGAAATAAATCTATAGAAATCGATTTTGAACTAAAAAATGGTGTGTCTCTGGAGTTAAAAGGAGGACTTGCAGCAGCGGCGGTGGTTTCCTCTTCACCTCTTCCCTCCCTTTGATTCCATTTATTTACAACTCCTTAGTGGCATTGACTAGGCTTATTTGCAACAAACTGGTGAGAGAGCTAGTCCCCAGATGTCTGCGTAACAGAGCACACTGCCCTGCCCAGCTTGCCGATCCTAATGATTATTCCGGTCGCTCTGCCGTTCACCTTTATGAATTCAGTCAACCATCGGACTTGACCCGGATTTTATCGGCACCAAGAACAATATCGATTGCGACCAAGTAAAAGGTTACCTGTAGTGTTTCAGCATTTTTCTCTGTCACAAACCAACCATGACCATCGTCACCGGTCTGCACAGCAGCTTCGTTTCTCAGATCACAGGCTACATTAAAAGAGGGTATCCCAGTTTTTGTGGTATGAATCACTTGTCAAGAGGGAGTGCGGTGATGTTATGAATCTAAAGCCAATCTTGTCTCCCGAAGTATACACCATTTACCGTCGGCTAAGTATTGAATTTCTTGCTCTTTCCTCTGATATTCGATCTTTATGTTGCCATGCGTTGAATAGTTTGATGTCTCGCCTATAGTGTTTAGTATTTACTCCATTTATTTATGCTTTATCAGGCTTGATTCATGGGATTAGTTAATCACGGTTCCCCCCGGTTATCCTGTGTTTTTGCCATACAATCATCATGACGGCATAAAATTCCATACTAGCTTTTATTTTGTTTACTTGAACTAAAATTTCAGTGGGGTTGAACGATTCAGTGGGACTATTTACCTGGGTCATACCATGCTGTTTTATGGCTTAATAGTTGGTAAACTAACGATTCTAGTGCGTCTTGCTGCCAGTTCTCATGTAGTTATTTCTCATGGTTTTGGTTTCACGTAATTTACTTCAGGCCATTCTTTTTTTAGTCATTGTCTTTCTATGTCATTGAATAATTCTAGCTTGTTACATTTAGATATACTATGGTGAATCCCCTCTACTGTTAGTAGTTGTCGATGTGATTTTATTAAGGTTTTTTTTCTTGTTTGTTAAAAAATAATAATAATAATAAATTAAAAATAGAAGTAAAGTTCATATGCAATGGTACACAAGTAAATGAATAAACCAATAATTATTTTGTTTGTGCTTGTGCTTATTTAGGTCTCTCCATTCATCCATTGGGCCTAGGAGAGGGGTGCCTATCCCCTTTCCTCTCCCATCCGAGTCTTACCTGGACTGGTTGGACCATTTCCTTGGATATAAATGAAAACGGATTTTCGATGCAATTTCCGGAGGTCCCATCACCTCAATTTCCTTAACTGATGGCAGGGACTCCAATTCAGCCCAAGTGAGCCAATTTCCAATACTAATGTGTAGACCAAAGGGCAAAGGTGGCTTGGTATAATCGTTTCTGATCAAAAAAAAAAAAAAAGGTGGCTTGGTATAGGAAACTTAGTCCAGAAAAATACAACCCTCATGGGAAAGTGGCTTTGGAAGTTCCCCCTGGAACGTGAAAGGCTCTAGAAAGCATTCAGACAATGACTCGGATGTAAAAGTATCCCCTAATGCCTCATTATTATCTCCTTGGAAAGCAATTCAAGAGGTTTTTCCTTTCTTCCTCAACCATATTCAATTTGATGTGGGAAATGGGAACAAGGTCTTATTTTAGGAAGGCCTTTGGTCGGGAGAATAACCTCTAAAGACCTAATTCCCCTTACTCTTTACTTTGTCAAACTATAAATCTGAGCTCATTTCAAAATTTGTGACCTTCAACACCTCATGGCTGAATTGGGGTTTCAGTTTCAGAAGGGGTCTTAGGGACTTGGAATGTGAATCTCTGATAACCCTTTTGGCCAAGCTGGACTCTGTTTTCCTAGACCAAATTATAGACGATACAAGGGTTTGGGCAATTTCTAATAATGGCATCTTCACTTGGGCTTCTTTTTTCAATAACCTAATTCATCCTACCACCCTGGGTTAGAACCTCCCGGTAAAAGAGGTTTGGAGCATTAGAGCATGCCAATTCCACCAAAAATTCAGGCCCTTTGCTGGGAGATCTTTCTTGGGAAGATTAATGCCAATTCCCTTATGTTTATTGCCTTTGCAAAGCTAGTGAAGAAAATATCTTCTATTTGTTTATTCATTGTACCTTTGCACATTGTGTTTGGGAGCATTTCTGTTCTCTTTGGTTGCAGGTGGACTCCTCCCAAGGATGTGTTGGGTCTCTTTGATCCAATCCAAACTTCTTGAGACAGTCAAAGAAAAGAGGAAGGATTCTATGGAAAGCAATGAGAGCAGCACTAATTTGGACTATTTGAGAAGAAAGGAACAGGGGGATTTTCAATGACAAGTGTAGATCTGAGTCAGAAATCATAGAAACCATAAAGATACAAGCAGCACGTTGGGTAAAAACCTTGAAAATCTTCCATCTTTTATCCTTCAATGATATTTTGAGATCATGGAAGAATGTGGCAAACTTGGCCCAAGAGAAAGAAAGGGTTGTCATGGAATGGAGACCGCCAACACCTAATTATGTGAAGAAACTAAATTTTGATGGAAGTTTTTTGAGAAATTAAGGAAGGGCTGGTTTAGGGGGTGTATTTCGAGGTAAAGAAGGTGAGATACTAGCACTTTATCTGGGTCCTGTATTGCAAGGAGATTCATTGACAATAGAATTATTGGTTCTGCTTCAAGGGCTGAAACTTGCAAAGCAGTTTGGCTTTCAAAGGTTAGAGGTGGAAGGGGACTCTTAGGTGGTTATTCTTGGACAAAATTTCACAGCCAAACCCCTTGGGTTTACAAGCAAAGGATTAAGGAAATTGAAAGGATAACAAGGGAACTGAGTGAAACTTTTAAATGGGTGAGAAGAACTACAAATGGCATGGCAGATTAGCTAAGCAAGGGGCAGATAGGCGGTACTTATTTCAGGCTAAATTGTAAGGCTGGTTTTTCAGGGATTGCAACTCTAGTTGTATTTGTTTACTCCTATGGGTGTGGGTAAAATTACCCACAAATTTGTAAGCTCAAGTTTCATATAATGCTTAATAAAATTTACCATTGCTGATAAAAACACATCGGTTGAACTCATGTAAGGATCAAAATAAGAACAGAATTATTCATCAAAGGACCAATTTATAATATCTAAGGGGCCAAAATAAATAAAAGCCAACCTATTTGATAAAAACCATAAAGTATTATACCATACATGTAAGATACTGTACAATTACCAAAAAGCTATAAGATATTATATACCAAATATATAAGCTATTATACTACATTATATATATACAATTTCTGGGCTGGCCCAGGCTGACCAGGCCTAAGGTTTGATTTGTCTGGGCCTGGCCCACATTATGTGTGGCTTGATGCAAGTCCTGGCTAGCTAGGCTTGGGAAAAATGTGGCTGCCCAAGCCCAGAAATTCGTAGGCTGGGTTGGGTGTACATGATCATCCTGAAGCCAAGCTTTCTCCCTCCATAGCTTATATTTGGTAAAAACCATAAAATAGTATACCATCTATGTATGATACTATACAATTACCAAAAGACTATAAGATATTATACCAAATTTATAAGTTATTATACTACATATTATATATACACAATTTCTGGGCTGGACCAGGCTGACCAGGCCTAAAACTTGCTTAGTTTGGGCCTGGCCCACATTATGTGTGGCTTGATGTAGGTTCTAGCTGTCTAGGCCTAGGAGAAATGTGGCTGCCCAAGCCCAGGAATTCGTAGGATGGGCTGGGTGTAAATGATCATCCTTAAGCCAAGCTTTCCCCCTAATATGCACTCCATAACACATGTTCTGTTCTAGTCCTACCTATTTTTAAAATCTTCTGTTTAGTTAATCATCTATGATTAGTGCAAAAATAATTAAGTATTATCTTTGAAGAAATGAATAGAAGGGAAAAAAGGGGCCTAAAGACTCCACTCTTTATTTGCTAGTTACCTATTGGAATAGGACCCTTAACAGCTGGGTGGCTGGCCATATCTCTTGAGCCACTTTTGATGTGGCAAAAAATGGTGTGGTCTCAAAGGTAAATTTCTTTGGGCTGCATTTGGCAAAATATGTTTTTGTACTGAAAATAAAAGTGAATTTATTTTTTCTTACGTTTTTGAATTCAAAGTGGGAGCAAAATTTGCCACCCAAAAAATTGGAGCAAACTCTTGTAAGCTTTTGTAGACTCTCATCAAAGTTGCCGATCATCTTTTTGTTGGAATGGTTTAGGCTATGTTTGATGATTAAGTGGTTGTTAAAAGAAGTACTTGTTGCACAAGTACTTTTTAGAAGTACTTATTTTAACAACTACTTATGGTTGTTTGGTAACCCACTTGCCAAATCACTTATTATGTTTTTAAGCACTTATTGGGGTGGGGATGTTTGGTAAGCTACTTTTCCCATAAGTGCTTATATTGACACAAATGACAATTTTAGCCCTCATTTCAATGAGAAGAATAACTTCACAAAATAGAAGAAAGTGGAAAAACGACAGGTCCGTTAGCCACTTTTCCTTATCGCCGATTGTCGCCGGTGGAACTATAACTGGGTGCACCGCCACCTGGTTTGAATGAGAGGAGATGGAGGTATAACCCTCGTGTTGGGGTATTTTAGGTATTATAAGAAAATACTAGGGACTGGTTCATCCCATTTTATTGGAGAAGTACTTCAAAAAGTGCTAAAAAAGCCAACTTTGGGTCACTTTTTTAAGAAGTACTTCTTTTAAAAAGCACTTCTTCTCCACTTTTTTACTAAACACATAAAACCATTTATTAACCACTTAATGTGTGGTCCTAGCTGTTAAAAGAAGTACTTGTTAAAAGAAGTACTTCTTATAAGTGAAATTAAACAGGGGCTTAGAATCCATCATATGGATAGCCGAACCATGCTAGATGGTTGGGCAAAATTTCAAATTTCTAAACCCTTTTGGGAACCGATTTCTCAGTGAATTTGAAAACTGAATTTTCTAGATTGATCTTGCATTGAACCAGACCAGATTTGAAACCAAATTGAAACGAAATTATACCTGATATGGAAGCCACAAATTGCAGCTCCCAAATTGGAAGTTCACGCCCAATATCAGTCCCAAAATCGTCCTCCAATTGAAGATGTGCAGAGTATAGGGGAAACCGATTCAACAACTATGATTTCAGCAAATCTGCTATCCAATTGACTTGGATCGAGTGAGATAACTTAACTAATCATGACAACTTAACCAATCACATGATAACTAAACTAATCTGCTATCCAAACCCAGTTTTGACCCAAATCACATGACAACTTAACTAATCATGTGATAACTTAACTAATCATATTAGTAATGGGCCTTAGGCCCATTTCTCATAAAGGCTTGCACCTCTATGTGTTGCATGGCTACTTTATGCCTGATATTGTATGATGTGGAACCCCACAAAGGTCTCACACAAGTCCATGAGGGTCTAACCCCAATTTCTTAATTTTATCAGGTATGATGTTTGCTTAGGGAATTATGTTCTCTTTTGGAATATGTCGGGGTGGGAAATTCAGCCTTAAAATACCTTTTCCCTTCTCTTTACTCTATTTCCTTGTTTAAGAATAAGGCTGTCTCTAATTTCCTTCCCTTCCCCCTTTTGCCTTTGTCGTTAAATTGGGATTTTGGCTTCCGTTGGGGCTTGAGGATGATGAACTTGGTGATGTTTCCCAACTTCTTTTGATTCTTGATAATGTTTGGTTGGATCTCTTATAGTCAGACAAGAGGATTTGGTCCCCCCACCCAAATTGCTCCTTTTCTTGTGCATCCATTTTGAAAGCCCTTTGTTCTTCCTCCCCTTAGTCGGTTTTTCCAATAAAGGAGCTTTGGGCTAAGCCTATTCCCCCCAAAATTATCTTGTTTTGTTGGGAATTGTTTTATGGGAAAATCAGTACTATAGACTGCTTACAAAAAAAAAGAAGCCTTTTATGTGCTTGTCCCCTAGTTGGTGTATTCTTTGCAAAGCTAATGGTGAGGACTATTTCCACTTACTAATTTCTTGATCCTTTGTTGTTGCTATTTGGGATTGGACTTTTGCCTTATTTGGTTGATGGTGGAATTTACCCACTAATGTAAGTCTACTTTTCGACCCGTTGGTCTTTGTATGGCCCACAAAAAGAGGGTGGATAATGTATCAGAGCAACTGCACTTTGGACAATTTGGGAGGAAAGAAATGCAAGAAATTTTCAATAAAAGGAACGAAGCCTCCCGAATATCAAAGAGTGTATCTTAACAAGGGCAATTCATTGGTTGAGAACTTCGGAATTTTTCCATTTGTTCTCCTTTGATGACTTCAGAAGGAACTGGATGGAGGTGGCTAATATCTCCCTCAAGAAGTAATGGACTTCTATAGTGTGGACTCCGCTGTCGGAAGGTTGTGTAAAATTGAACTTTGATGGAAGCAGTCAAGGCAATCCTAGCCCCTCAGGTATAGGAGGGATTTTGAGAGATAGGGATGGTAATATCTTAGCCTTGTACTCGGGTCCAGCGGGAATGGGAAACTCAAAATAGGGCTGAGTTGTTGGCAGATTTACAAGGTATTCAGATTGCTAATCAATTTGGTGTTGAGAACCTTCAAATTGAAGGTGACTCCAAGGTTGTTGTAGGTTGATTAACAGATCCGAGCTCAATCATTTGGTGCTACAAGGACCTCTCAAAGAAGGCCAACTGGTTATTAAGAAACATGAATGTTAGTATATAGGGGGTTGGCAGGTTTGCAAACGCTATGGCAGATTATCTTGCTATAAACAAGGGGTTTTGAGGGAACATTTGTACTGGGCTACCTTGTAACCTTGATATATAGTGCTATGTGATTTTCCCTCTTTGAGGGAGGTTGATGATTGTAACAGTTCTCATATTGTCTTAATAAAATTCCTCTTCAATTATCAAAAAAAAAAAATCTAAACTAACACGAGTGTCTTAAGTGTCCGATTTAAGGGCTAATACATAGAAAACATACCAATATGAACATAAAACAATAATGTACTTAAAGGGTCTTCCGTTAGGAGCTAACCCAAAAGAAAGTTGGTTCTGGTATCCAATTGTGGAAAAGTTTGAAAAGAGGCTGGCTACTTGGAAAAAAAGTTACATTTCGATAGGGGGTAGAGTGACCTTGATTAGGGCGACACTTGCTAGTCTTCTGGTTTATTTTCTTTTTGTATTCAAGATACCCTCAAGGGAAGTCAAGAAGCTAGAAAAGGTGATGAGGGATTTCTTGTCGGAGCCAGGGGAAGAGAAGAAGGATCACTTGATTAGGTAGGAGATAGTCAACAGGAGTAAGGAAGAAGATTCGGATTGGGAAATCTAGTTCTTAAGAATGAAGCTTTTCTAGGGAAGTGGCTTTGGAGATGGCCGTTAGAGAGAGAGAGAGGTTGTGGCACAAGGTGGTGAATAGTATTCATGGCTGTTTGCAAAATGGTTGGGATGCCGGGGTATCTCGACAGGCGACTCTTGCAACACCCTGGAAGGCCATTCACGGAATTCTACCCCATTTCTCAATTTGGTAAGGTATGATGTTAATTCTAGACACAATGTTCTTTTTTGGGAAGACATTTGGGTGGGCAACCAACCTCTTAAAGACCTTTTTTCCTCTCTTTACTCTCTTTCCCTTTATAAGGAAGAGCCAATTTCTAGTTTTATTTCCTACTCAAATTCTTCTTTGTCCCTAAACTGGGATTTTGGTTTCCGTAGAGGGTTACGTGATGATGAAAGTGCTTGCATTTCAGATTTATTGTCTTCACTTGAGTTTATTTGTTTAGATCCCCTCAAACCTGACACAAGAATTTGGACCCCTAACCCAAAAGGTTTGTTCACTTGCTCCTCTTTCTTCAAGTCCCTCTGTTCCACTTCTATACCTTAGAATTTCCCAATTAAAGAATTTTGGACTAGGCCCATTCCCCCAAAGAATTTTGAAAACCTACAAAAGAGAAGACCAAATTGGTGCTTATCCCCTAATTGGTGTGTTCTTTGTAAATCTCAGAATGAGGACTGTGACCACTTATTGATCTCTTGCTCCTTTTCTACAGCTTTATGGAATTGGATTTTTACGTTGTTTGAGTGTAGGTGGAACCTGCCATCTGATACTGTTGTTTAGTTCGTCTATTTTTGAATGGCACACAAAGAGAGGGAGAGTTATGTGGAAGTGCATAAGAACAACTTTGTTGTGGACAGTTTGGGAAGAAAGGAACACCAGAATCTTTTGTGAAAAAGAAAGGAATTTCTTGGAAGTTAAAGAATGTATTTTGACAACGGCAACTTAGTGACTAAAAACTCTAAAGATCTTTGATGCATACTCTTTTGATGACCTATGGAGAAGCTGGTTAGCAGTGGCTAATGCTTCTACCAGGAAGGACAAACATGGGGTTGAATGGATGTCACCAAGGAAGGAGTTTATCAAGCTGAACTTTGATGGAAGTTGCTGAGGAAATCCAGGACCTTCAGGCGTAGGAGTGCTGAGAAACAAAGATAGTAACATGATATCTTTGTACTCAGGTCCTGCAGGTGTGGGAGACTCTTTAAGGGCCGAATTACTGGCTGCTGTACAAGGAATCCAGCTTGCAAATCAGCTAGGCATAGAGCATCTGATTATTGAAGGGGATTTCCAGGTGATAGTGGGTTGGCTGAAGGATCTAGACATTGTGATTTGGAGTTTTAGAAATCTTCTCAAAAATATTAAATGATTAACAAGGAATATGACAATCAGAGTTCAGTGGGTAGGGAGATCAGCAAACTCATTGGCCGATTCACTTGCAAAACAAGGGGTTTCTCGGGATACTTTATTTTGGGCTTCAGTGTAATTTCTTTTGTACTTATAATTCTGTAATTAGCTTTAAAGGAAAGGTTGCATCTCGTGCCTTTCCACGAGTTGCATGTAACTCTTATTTGCTGGTTTAATAAAATTTCACTCATTTATCGAAAAAAAAACAATAATGTACTTTATTCATTTACAAATAAATGTTTATGTACATAGTCTGATTGGAGCTAAGGGCATACACTATCTAACACTTTGAGCACCTTGATGGGTCTATCATTAGTTATCTATGCCATTCTAAAATGTTCTTTGCTTATAGGTGATCCAAACCATGCTCCTGAATTGGAAATATCTCCTATTCTCTTCTATTTTAAATGCATTTTTTCCCCCACCCTCTCATTTCTACATCAAAACCTTCAATCCCCAGGATTTTCTTTTGACTGATTATAGCCAATGATAATTTCTAATTGTAGGGAACCATATTTTCTAGTAAGAGCACTGGACTTCGTTTCATGGGGTGCACAAAGTTTTGATGCCTTCTATCACTTTCTAAAGCCTTAAATCTGATTCTTTTAAGGTAAGCTCATGATTTTTGGTGCATTATTTTGAAGAAATTCTTGTGCACAACACACTTTTTGATGTCTTGATTGAAAATTCCTTTTGGTTCTTACTTATAATAGTGAAGCTCATCTCATAGGATAATGGTTTGTTTGAAAGAGTTATTGAAGGTGTATTTTGTTTTTGGTATGCATTGAAGAGTTTAGTTGGTTAATAAAAATGCATTTTGTTTATTCTAATCACATGACTAAGTTTGATAGGTTAAGAGAATTGCTAATGTGATGGCAGATTCATTGGCCAAAGAAGGGGTCCATAGGGAAATTACTTCTGGGCAAAATTCTAAAAACCAAATACATTAAATGGGTGGCTGGGTATCCATCCCCAGCTTTGGTTGTACTTCTGATCATTTAATCAATCTAACAAATTTACTCTTTACTAACAATTTGACAAAAAAAATCGCATGGCTAAGTTTATACATTAGGAAATGGAAATGATCTATTGATTGTTTCTATTTTTTTTTTTTGAGTTTTAATACTTTGTCATGTGTTTAAGACTCCACATTTTCTGTCAATGATCCAAATCCAATGGATTCATATGGGATTTTTTGGAACAATATGCATATGCATTACTCATAAAAGTAATAGATAAGATTGATTTCAAATTAAAAGTGGTTTGCAGTTGGGTTGAGCTTGGAGTTCATGGTGATTGGGAATTTTTTCTAGTATGAAAATTATACAGACCATAGTGATATTGAGTTAGATATCATCTTTCTTAGAAATTGGATTTTCTTTTGTGAACAATTTTCTAGACATGCACATTTTATAAAAATTGCTTCAAATTTCACATCATTCCATTGTAGTAAGTAGTATTTTTCTGTTGGTTTTCAGTAAAATGGTGAATTTAGATTTAGCTTCAAAGTTGAGACTTGATATGCGTGAAGGGATGGAATATCCATCACATGGACGTCCAAGTCTTGCGGAATAGACTGGACGAATTTCAAAAAAAATTTCTCCCATCTTTGCAGGGAATCGAATTCCCTATTTTGAAAACAAGTTTTCAAGGATCAATCTTGAACCATGAACCAAATCAGATCTGAACCAAAAGGGGTAGGAGGGAGGATATACCTGATACGGAGAAACAATATCTCCCAATGGAGGTGTTCACGCCCAAGGAAGGATCCAAAATCTGCTCCCACTGAAGATGGCGCAGTGCAGGATGGAGCAGAATCAGCAATGTTCTTCCAAAAGAACTTGACCCTTCGCAAGAATCAACTGGATGGCTTGTGAGTACAGCTCCAACCAATCTTTTCCGAAAAGATTGCAATCAAGATCAGATCTTGATTTCTCCCAAGAACTGGAGATCTAAAGGCAATGGCGGTGGCAGGAAGGAGGCAGCAGGAGAGAATTCGCAGGGTGCAGAAATCTCTCTTTCTGTGATTTTTCAGCTCTGAAGAGAATCAGATGTGTTTCTTTCTTAGGCTGCCGCCCCCTTCTTTTGTTAACTTAAAAGATCAGCTCCTAATCCAATTAGGAGC